CTTTTAAACAGATAACAAACTAAGAGCCCAGAATCATCAATCCCTTTCTGTCAGGGATTATGTATCACTGCCTCTCGGTGTAGTATCTGTAAATTAGTGACAACTACAAAAATACACAGATGAGCTTACAAACTTGCTAACATTTCTTTAGAACATAGTTGGATTGGGATATTTTTTTTAAATATGTATTTTTAATTGAAGAATTATGGAGAAAATGAAGAAAATGGGTGTTTCAGCATTCTGAGTATCATTCCATTCGAAGATGAAGATTTTGCACAAATTAACTATAGGACCCAATCTTTGAATTGCATATCAAACTGCAATACTTGATTGCATCTGAATTTTTTTCTCCCACGCTGGACTCCCTCCATGAAAGATATTTTGTTATGTTCACAGAACCTGCATCATCAGTTCCATTATATGGAGTTGTCACAATATTTTTTTTTACTGAAGCTTGCTTTTAGCTATAGGTGTAACAATTTGATATTAAAATCATAGGCCCGAAGTAGCACTACAATCTGTCTATGTATTACATACATGCAAAGATTTATATAAAGCAGTTCTAATCTTGAAAATGAGTAGCTGTGCTCTGTATAAAACAAAGTCCGTGCAGTATTTTCACTTTAGAATTCAGGCATATTCACTAGTCCAGAAGAAGTCTAGAGTAACATGTAAATGAATTATTCCAACCAGGTCTTCTGCAGTCACATATTAAGTCTTCATACTTTTAGTCTCCAAACAGATGACACCTCACTGCATCTGTGATGAATCTCATATACGTTTTGGGGAAAAGTCTGTCATTTGAAGTTCCAGCTAAGACTTTCAGGCCAGAACAAATGACTGCACTCTGCACAAACCATATGAAAGAGAAGAAAGAAGTCCTATGCCTGATGCCTTCTTAGGTAGATTGAAACTAAATAGCAAGTAAAGATCAAAGAGTACTAAAGAAGTCGTCTGGCAAATCATAAAAAAGCATAGTTTTCAATATGGAGCCATAAGGACAATAATACCAGAATGAACAAGTATATTTTCCTGGGGTACCTAGATGCCACAAAAATGCATCTGTCTACTTGTTTGAGGACATTTTTACTGTTATGTTTCTGGTAGTACATACTCTGTTTATTCTGACAGTTTTGATTTCTGGAGGAAATTAGATTTTGTTTGCTGCAGACAGATAGATATAATCGCTCTCACTTAGCAGCAGAGTTTGCAATTGAATGTCTCAGCAGAGATCTTTCTATTTCATGTATATTACACGTTTCAGATCTCTTCACAGCACTTCCTCAGATGGCTTCTTAGACAGTAAAATCTGGTAATAATTATCAAACACCATACACACTGTTTACAATAGAGTCATATTTCTTTCTTCTTTTTCTCCTGCATAAAAAGTAGAATGCTGCTGAAAAGTACCCAAATGTCTGCTATGCTTCATGCCAATACAGCAGCTCAGCCAAATATGCAGAGAAAAGTTTGCCAAATAAAAGAAAACATAACAAATTCGTAATGGTTTCTATCTTGACAGAAAATGAAAATTATACCTCAATGTGTGGCCACTCATGTGGACACATAAAAATGTCATAGAGGCAATTGTTCTACCTCAGATAACACACCCTGACAGTAGAGCAGCACATACTGGCTAGCTTTCACTTCCCATAAAAACAGCAGCCATGACCTACAAAATGAGCTGAAGGAATCACATAATTTGTGCATATCATATATGCATATGCCATGCATTAATTATATTTATCATAAATAATGCAATGTAGGATGTTTGTTTTTTTAGTAGAATGACTGTCTTTGTAAGACCAGATTGGAATTAAGAAAGTATTTTTAAATGTGAAGTCACCATAGTTATCTCAGATAATCCAATCCAATGAATACAATGAAAACACAAGCCTTTATCCCCAAATGCAAAATTCAACTCTCAAAGCCATCTAAACAGTCTGAAGTTGAATAACATTCAGAAAACTTCACTGCTTTGCTAATTTTGTATATGGTTATAGCCAATTTATGTAATATGAATATTTTATAATTTATTTAGCTTAGAAGTAAATTCTTTGAAAAGCTCATTTCTCTGTAAAGGCAATAAAAATTTTACTGAACTGTGAAATTAATAATATGATCGTTGATTATTAGACTATTACCTAGCTTTGTATCATTCTAAGTATTTCAGTGCAATGTTGTTTTCTGAACAATGTCATTTTTTGGAATAAAAATACAAGCAATTTCATAATGTCAATATGCAACAGTCTTTTTCGTACTGTATAGATTATCTATAGGGTGAAGAATTATCACCAATTTGATATTAGTAAATACTCAACAAGAAACATGAAAGATTATTATTAGACTCTGTGAGTCCTTAGAAGTCTATTCCTGGAGATAAATATATGGCTGCATATTTTCTGGAGAGCTTAAAAGCACATTGGTACCCCAGAAGAATCTCCAAGTCCTAGTGAAATCCTGAAATCTTAGGGACTAAAAATTTATGCTGTATGTTCTTCCTCATCCTCAAAGAGCTGCAAAATGCCTGGGACAGAAAATGACATAGTGATGAAAGACTGTATGGTTTGAAGATTTACCAAACAGATGGTAACCAGAGAAAACTTAAAATAATAGCAAGCAGCATGTAATGAGATTTATCCTAATATAGGAAAGTAAAGTCTCTACTTTCAAAAACAAGAAACTGAAGCAAAAATCCTTTTGCTCTGATTTATCTTTTGAATAATATAATCAAAGAAAGCATAGTTACCTCTTTTCATTTCAGATGATGGAATTAGCATAAAAACTAAAAAGAAAACTTCAGAAATTTAATCTGAACTTAGTTTGCTTAGATTCTAAAGCTAAAAGAAATCCTCAGTTCTTATGTAAAATAAAAATATTCTGACCAAGTTATATAATCAGTAAAATAAGAAGTAAAATGATATGCTGTGACATGTTTGAATTGCTATTGTTTTAAATTATTTTAATAGCTTATATAGTAATTCAAATGCAATTTCATCACCATTATCTGTTAAAATGAAAACAGACTAAACTAATATTCGCAAAGAAGCACTGAAAAAATAAATGCACTCATTATGCTCTACGTAAGAAAATATGTTACTTTATGACTGCAAGAACTTTATGCTAACTGCTGCACTACAAGTGTTAGCATTTCTGCTAGAACAAACGTCCAAAGCTTTCTGAAAAAAAAAAATTCCTAACATTTCCCCTGTGTCTTCACAGAATTACAGTGAAAAAGAAGAAAGCGTGAAGGTGAAGCTGCAGAATCTGTGTTGTTTTATCTTACTAAATTAAAAACTAGCAATGATTCTACATGCGTATGACAAATAAAAAAAAAAAAAGTGATTTGAGTGATTTAAAATTTTAGGATCATCTACATATCTCATAATCTGCAGCTTACCTTTGATGACCACCTTTTTTTTCTTGTTAAATTTTCATAGACTGAATCTTCAAACAAGTAGTCTAAGATTTTCTGATTTAACGTACAAAAATGACCATTTTTATAATGTAGATACCGTAACTTGACAGATAACTTCCGGATAGCTGAAAAAGTTCTTTTGTTTACTATCAGTTGGAAAAAAAATAATTAAGATTTAAAAAAAATAAATTGCCTTCCATACATTATTTTACTTCCCACTATTTTTTAATGTTCTTTTCTCACTTAATTCACATATTTTTTTTCAACTGTAGAATTACAGTAAAAAATATTTAACAGTCTGCATTTCTCACAACAAGTCTGTCTTACCATCTGAGAAAAAGCCTTAATTAAAGTTATGGTTATCTTACTGTTTTACGTGAGTCTTCTCAAAAAGATACAGAGTACTTTAATCATGTTTAGCAAAGTCATCTGTTTAAAAAGAGAACATCCTTTTTTTTTTCTCCTTTTTGTAGTTCAATCTTTTTATTTTCTGTGCTTATTTATTGGTGCTATTCTAGGGATTTGGGGAAGACAGATTATCATACTAGTTTTCTTCTTCCAAAACATAAGCCTTTATGAAGATCTGAAGGCTATACTTCACATATATTTTCACATACTCATTTAAAATTGTCTGAGATATAGAAATAAACAGGTGCCAAGGTCTTAGTTAAATTTTCTTTTTCAGAGCTAGTTTTGTTGTAATTGTGACTGTGTATGTGTATAACTAAAGCAGAGATACTTTATTAGACCTATAACTTGTCTTATAAAAATTATGACCAGTTTGTACAAAACTTCTTATTTCTGAACCTTTTTTTCTAGCTATTTCATGCACATATTTCTATTATCGTCTAGCAGTTCACAGTGTAAGATTACAGGATCACAAGTCAAGTCACAGTGATTTTTCTCCTTCCCTACCTTAAGGTGAATTCTTTGACTAACATAAATAAACATAGTAAGGCTGCTTCTGTGACTAGAAAATGTTGAGGTCAAAACTTCTGCAGTGCTTCATCAATTGCTTTATTGCGGTCACCCCCTCCTTAGTTGAATCTTTCCTTATCTCATCCATCAGTCTTTAAAATATAACCCCCAGTATGGGAGGCAAAGCATTTCCCACTGTCCTGCTTTATTTTCCAAAGCACTAAAACATTACGTTTTAGCAGACACCTGCCGCATCAACTCTCTTTTAATTTAGTGTTTCAGCTGCTTCTTAGATGTAAGCTTAGAAGTGTAGGGTTTCAGAAACACACAGAGAAGTTTATATAGAAGTGATGAAATTACTATATTTTAAGGCAGAAGGCAGCTAACTCCTTTCAGAACTTATTTCCTGCTGGAGACAAATGGCACAGAAAGCATACCACCTTGTTTCCTAATAATGATATGCAGAAGAAATAAGGCAAAGAAACAAGCAACTAATTGACCTCTAAAAAGTAAAGTGTTAGTAAAAGAAGTATTACAGAATAAGGTTTCAATAAACAGAAAAAAGAGACTGGTTTGCAAAACAAATGAAAAATGAAGACTGCTACTTCTCCTCTTTCAATCCTGACTATTAGTAAAAAGACAAATAAAAATCCATAAAACTTACCATCCTTCATCAGTGTCTACTTCAGATTCAGAAAACTCATTTTCAGGAGTTTCTTCAATTGCTTGGGTTAACTTTGATTTAAACCGGTCCAGCAGTGCCAGCGTCTGAAGTTAAACACACAGTTTTAAGGAAGTCACATATATTTATAAACAAGTATTATAGAACATCTTCAAACTATTATTTTGGGAAACAGTGCAATGAGATGGGAGAGAACTTTTCTATGACTTCAAAGAAAACTGCAGTGTCAAGCAAGTGAAAGTGAGGGATGCCAAGAGTAACAGCATGTTGAGCAAGTGAGAGGGTGTGCAGTACTGGGAGTACACATGCAAGAGAGCACTTGTCCAGCCATCTAGTAAAATAAAAACACATATTTAGGGAACAGATACTTACACTTACAGAATAAATAGGTAATAAATTAGATAACACTGGCCACTGGACAACAATTTTACTCTTTGAATCTGTTAGTTTCTTCTAGTAAGGCAATCCACTGCATAAATTATAGACAATTCAACTACTGAAGACACAGCTTAATTGATACTCCTCTGTTTTCCAATGCTGATCCTTTAAATTTTTTTGCTGACTTTAATAAAAACAAAGCTTTTTACTTGAATGCAAAGAACTATCTTAACTAATTTGACAGACACAGGCCCTTACATTACACACACCGTAAACATACTGATTTATATTTGGTATTTTATTTTACAAATGACACTGCCCTCTCTTTCAGCTACAACAAAGTCATTGAATCTGCAGTAACATGTGAAGATCATCCTGCAGGTCTTCTTTCTGATCACTTGAGAGGTGATGTTGATTATACAAGAATTGTATGCTCAAGCATTGTGATGGCACAAGGGTCACAGGGCTCTTCATAAAAAGGGCAAACCATAAGAAAAATTTGCACAGCCCATAGCTTACTTCTGCTAATATTTGAGACATTACTGCAAAGGAAAGCGTCAGGGAATAAGTAATTAACTGAATTTATGTGGCAGACTACATTTGATCTGTAGGTGATAGGTTGGCCACCTATGTTGTAAAACACCTCTGTATGGCTGTTTAGTTTTGTTTAGTCAAGTTTTTCAAATTTAAAAGAATAAAAAATAAACAAGAATAGAAAACAGAAATTGGAAATACCAGAAGTGTTCACTGGAATCAAATTTCCTTCTGGGAGCAGTCTTAACTTTAGGAGTTTCCTGGCTTTTGAATTCTTTTAAAAACACATTTTAGCACTGCCAAAGGTGGGTTTTAGTTTCTTTTTTTTTTCTTTTTTTCTTTTTTTGCATTTATTTTCTTTATTTTTCTGTTTAATCTTGTTTAAGCTGGGAGAAGAAATTTTCAGATATACTTGTGCCTGTGAATCATTCAAGTTCTACAGCTTCGCATGCAATTGCAAACAAACTTCACACTTACAAAACCTAGGGCAGCAAATCTTTGTCCAGGACATTAGAAAAAAACAAATTAACCCTTTTCACGTGAAACTGTGATCAACTACACATGTGTAAAAGCCACATTTCTTATGTATTGTTTAACTTTCTGTAGTGCCAGCATTATTTTAAATGGACCCGTCTTATTCTGTCTACTGTGAATGATTAGATGCAGTGCTGTGGACCATGTATCTTTATAAACTGAATCATGTTGAATTACAAGGTAAGGATTTCCATTGTCTGGTATTTGAAAAAGACGTGCACATTATCCTTCCAGCTCCTGAACAGAAGATGGAAAATAATATTGTATTGTAGGATATAGTAGGAAGGATGTAAGGCTAGAAGAGGCCCTCAACAAGTAAAATGGATAGTAAAGAACTTCATTATTAATTGTTGAAAGGAGTTGACGACTCCTTGTTGAATAGCTGATTAATTACTGTTGAATAGTTTTTAAGAGGGCTACATAACTAAAAATTATTATCTACTAAAATACATATTCACATCACTTTAAAACCCATATGTCTGGTGCACAGCACAAATTTTAGATGAATGGTATTTAGCACTTCACAGCATTTTCATATATTCAGCAGGTTCAAATATGCCTATTTTAGAAAAAAATATTTACATTAAACTTAAATTTGCTCATATTTGCATACTGAAGCTTACATACATTCTGACCATGGAAAATAATTTCATCTATACTTAAAATGCGTTTTTAAAATTCAGTTAAAAATGGGTTTTGTTCATTTCATAACACTCAAAGATATGTTTGAATTTGATCTCTATAAAACATTATTTAAAATGTGGAAAAAAGCCTCACATTTTGGACAGATACCAAATAAACAAACTTCTGTCTCAGTGCTATTTTATGGGAAGTTGCAAAGCCAAGAACAGAACTGCAGAGAAATGCAAACTCTTGTAAATATAATCAAGGATACTTCTGTGTGGATAGCTTTTCCTTTTGCAAGATTTTAGTGTCTTAACTGACAGCACATTCAAGTACATACAGAAACCTTGTCACACATGTACAGTCACATTTATTAGTGTTTAGAAATAATAATTTACTTTTTTTTATGGAAAATTAACTATAACAGATTTGTAAACTTTATTTTTTATCAAATGGAGAGAAAAAAGTTTTCAGAACTCTTTCAGAAATCTTTATTCCCTAGGATTACCTGATCCTCACGGGAAACTCCTTTCTTTGGCTGCTGCTTCCGTTTGTCTTCATATTTTCTCTTCTCCTGAAGGTATTCTTCAACAACACTATTTGGTGCAGGTTCCTCTTCTGAGTAAGGAAATACATTTGGTTAAACAAATTACACTTGGCTTTTTGATTTATTACCATTTTGAAGAACGTTTGTTATTTCTGAAATACCAAACACAAGACTTCCATAAAACATTTCAGCTGTGTTGCTTTCTGAGCAAGTAAGATGATTTGCTGCTCGATGAAATGAAATACAAAACACTGTACTAAGCAGACACGAACCCGAAATTTTTAATGTCAAATATATTTTACCTCAGAGCCAGGGAAAGCAGGGAAAACCTCTGATGTTAAGACAGAAACAAAACCTGCTGAAATTTCTTTAAGAAGTTTATCTTCATTCCTGAACACCTTTCCTGGAGCAGCTGAACTGGTACACTGTATTAATGTTTTGTAGCTATTGAGAAATTGTCAGTTTTTCTGTTTTATAGGCTGAAGAAGCTACAGTTCCAATCTGTGGTATTTGGATGACTGCTGACAGCTACACAGGGGCAAATCCTGACTTTAAAATAAAATTCTCTTACTTCATTCGATGCTTTCTATAAAGTTTATAAACATAACATGTCATAAAAAAGGAAATAAATTTACAGTATGTAATCATCCTTTTAAATATATTTGTTTACATGAATCTACAAATAAAATCTCTTATTTCCAAGTTATCTTAATTTATATGTTGCATGCATACAAACTTAAAGAATAACTGGCAAAACATCTTCAACATATACAATATCATACAGAATTGCTTTTTTTCCATTTGATACATTGAGCATAATGAAGATCAGAATGAAAAAAAATGAAATGAATGAGACAAAAGCTGCTATAAAAACATGTGCAGTGAAATACTGGATAAACTAAAGAAATTAACAAAGTACAGTACTGAACTAAAAATCATAATGGTTCAGATTCATCTTTCCCTCCATTACCTCAGTCTTTTCTACTAATTAAAAAAACCATGACTTTTTGCCTAAGTGTGTGTATCCTATCAAACTTGTGTAGAAGGAACACAGTGTCTTGTTTCACTAATTTAGTCCCTAGATAAACAACTTGAACTACTAAATCACCAGATTTCTTACAGAAAGCAACTTTTCAGGTAACATTTACCTAAAGGGATCCTTTGAAAAGAATCCTAGCTACTCGATGGTAAATATAATTGTTCAGATACAACAAGCAAAAGATCTGTGACAGTCATTATTGAAAATTTCTGTAAACGCTAGTTTCAAACTGACCATAAACCAATGCTTAAATTCACTTATGCTGCAATTAAAGATGTGATCCTTAGTCACACATGTTTTTTGACTAAGACTTAAGTCTAGCACAGCTCAAATATAATCTTCATACAAACAGGATAAATGCCTTTGAAGCTGTATGTTTGTGTATTTTTATCACACTCATATGGTTGTCACCGTTAACACAAACAATTTAAATTTCAGCTTAAGCTTTCTCTTGAGATTATTGTTTCTTTGGTCTTTGTCAGAGTTTTTCTAATCCTCCACTTAATTTTCTCTGCCTCCTACAAAAGCCTTTTCGTAAGTCAGACAAATAACAATCAGGTCCATGTGAACTAATTTCAAAGTGAGTCAACTGAAACAGTTATGCACTTGTATCATCATATTTCTGCACCTTTTATTAAAAAGACTTAAGACATGCTTACACTTTTCCACGATTCAACAGATTCCATCTATTACTCCACATAAAGACCAGGTGATACAATAGGAAGGATTTTCAACAGCCCTTAAGTCAATGGGCTTCTAACATATTTTACTTCAATGACTGCATAATTACAACAGCTGTTTTTTAATATAAACAAAATAGTCTGCTTTGATAAGCAGAAATTCTTTGATAGAAAATATTTCATATTTGCAAGAACAAATACAGCTAACTAGCAAGGAAAAGAAAGCATTTGGAAAAGAGAGTTGTTGGTGGAAAGAATCCCTTCTGAAATGTAAAATGCCCTTTTAAAATGCAAGAAGACATTTAATTGCTATTTCATATTTCTCAGTCAGTATTCCACAGGTCCTCCAAATCTTTTCTAACAGGGCTGGAAAAAGAGGACCAGGTCACTATATGATGGACTTGAACTTCAAATCAAGCCTGACAAACTTAGGACCAGCTTGTTGATCTGAAGCATAAAGACCATTACACTGGTATTTATATATTCAAGCTCCAAAAATATAAGAGGATTAATTCAGATAAAAATGAATGAAAAAATGACATGACATGGGTAGACTGCACTAACAATGAAATGCCTCACTCAAGTAGCATAGGATGAAGAAAATACTAGTTTAAGTAACACAGAACTTGCACGTGTATCCTAGAGCTATTAAATCACAAAGTGTAACTTTTTTTTTTTAAATTCTGAGATTGCATGCAGATTATATAATTAGGAAAGGTGAGGAAAAACAAAACAACAAAACACTAAATAACCTTCCTCACTGGAAATAAACTTCATTCTCACTTTAAGAGAATTTCTACTCAGCTAGCTTGAGTTACTGCCAAGAGAACCTTCATCTTACTGTGACATAAACTTCAGCATTTGTGTAATTTATTTTCTTTCAGATAGATTCTTCTATCCTAAAATATTCCTTTAAGGAGTAACAGATGCCAACATGATGGTGTAATCTAATCTAAAACTTTGGTTTTGAGACATGGTTTCCAATGATATCTTGAAACAACAGAAAAGATTCAAGTCTGTAAATCAAAAAGGAAGAGACTGATTTTAAAAAATACAGAAAAGTTTATTTTTTTCACACTTAAACTAGGAACAATTTAAATTATGTCAGTTTTCAAATACAACATAGAGGAATTATAACAAAGAAATGAGAACATGATCTGAGAGTACTGAACTGAATGCCATTCTTCAGAAATTCAGATCATTTCCTAAACAAAAGATAGAGCTTGCTATAAAAGTTTTAAGCTTCATTCCTACAAGTAAATTAAATAAACACTCAATCAGTGTTGAATCAGACACCTTCCATTTCACAAACTACAACTGAATTTTACCTTCCACTTTATGAAAACCAAGAACTTCTATGCCCTCAGACTGGTAGATTAGAAAAATACAGTCCTTGTTTAAAGCTGCAACCTCACTGCAGCGTTCCAGTACTTGAAAGTTGTTTATACACAGGAAGGTGTCCGAATTTTTAATATGGTCTGATAGTGATAGGACAAGGAGGAATGGATTTAAACTAAAAGAGGGTAGATTTAGATTAAATGTTAGGAGGTGGGTAGTGAGGCACTGGCACAGGCTGCCCAGAGAAGCTGAGGATGCCTCATCCCTGGAGGTATTCAGGAGCAGGTTGCATGGGGTCCTTGGTAGTCCTGAGCTGGGGGCAACTGTTCAACCCCACAGGAGAGTTTGTTTGAACTGGGTGAACTTTCAGTTCCCTTCCAACCAAGACATTCTGTGATTCTCTGATTATGTTAATTTCTGTAATTAAGACCTAAGATATTGGCTACACAAACAAAACATTATTTACTGCAAAGTATCAGAAAATATAAATACAATAAAAAACAATATATACAGTTGCTCTTCAGTGAATTTATAATCTACTCTTTAGTATATTTTTTATTAGAACTATCTAAATTGTTATTTTCCTCACATCTTAAACTATCAGTCAGTTACTATTACTCTGGAACTTCTAAGTTCTTGAAGAGCCACTACTGGATCTAACGAGCAAGGCAAGAGTCAAGTCATATTTATTACTAGTGAACAACCAAATACATTTTTTCACAGAATGATTTTCCAGGGTTGAGCTTATTACTGGATTATATAGTTTCCTACAGTGAAAAATAACAGTTTCAGAACAAACTTACTGGTTAATTTAGCCAACTTAAACAGCATAATCTTACAAGTGATTTTTAGAGCTTCAAAACATTTGTTTGAAAAAGCAAGCCCCGCTAATAACGGACTGTAAATGTGACAGTGGAAATTCCTAGTGAATCGTCTCTGAACTTTGGCAGCTTTTAGGCACACATTACAGAAATCACAGGCTAAAATGTGGTTAATTCTCTAATGTCAGTTGATTTTGAAAACATGCTTAAGATTACTACTAAAATCACATCTGGCTTACAGTGAGGCTTTTGTCATCTTTTCTTTAGCAAGCAGAGAAAGAAGAGGGAAAAGCACTTAATTTAGCAGAGAAGAGGCTGAATATGCATGCTGGGCATTACTTAAAGACAGTTTCAGTGAGAAAAAATAAAAACTGAAACAGGAGAAGAAAATGAAAGTTCACAAAAATGAAATATTCAGGATGCACACTTTGATACAGTGGAGCTATACTCTGTACTCATATCCCACAAATCTTCATTCTTAACATGCTTTATGCTACATAATTTCAAAACAACCAAAATTTGGGTTTTGTAGTTTTCTGAAACATGAACAATTCTCTTATAGTATCAGAAGTCAAGAAGACTTCTTGACAGGATTTAAGCAAATCTTTACATGCCACTGACATTACAAAGACTTAATAATAAAAACAGAAATAAGACATAATCTTAAACTGGCATCCTTGCTAGCTTTGTAGACTTTCCTAAACACTTCAATCATTCAGTTCTCTTGCTACAAACTAGATAATAATCTGTGCTGCTGTAGGAGCCTTACTCTTCATGCTGATTTTTACATTAGTAATTAGATTATTATGTTGTGGCTTTTCTTTTTTCTCATGTATGGTAGTTAAATTTCTTCATTCACAGAATCACAGAATGGCCTGGGTTGGAAGGGACCTCAAGGATCTTCAACCCCCTGCCACATGCAGGGCCACCAACCTCCCCATTTAATGCTAGACCAGGCTGCCCAGGGCCTCATCCAATCTGGCTTTGAACACCTCCAGGGATGGGGCATCCACAACCTCTCTGGGCAGCCTGTTCCAGTACCTCACCACTCTCTCTGTAAAGAACTTCACCCTGACATCCAATCTAAATCTTCCTTCCCTCAATTTAAAACCATTTCCCCTTGTCCTGCAGTTATCTACCCTTTCAAAGAGTTGATTCCCCTCCTGTTTGTAGGCTCCCTTTAGGTACTGAAA